ACAGTTTCGAGAAAAACACAAAACAATTTTTTTCTTTGATTATTTTTTGATGCAGGGGTCTTCAGAAAAATCGTTGTAAAACCCTCAAAAACCATCGAAAACCAATAAATTATAGTGCATTCGAAAGTAGAGATGATGGGCTATCTAACTATGTATAAATCTAAAAATCGATATTTTTGTCGAAAATTCCTTTTTTTTGAGAGGGGGGTGGGCCTTAAATGTTCTATGTCTGGTATAAATTGGGGATTAACTGGATCTTTCACATGTCGAACATTTTTATTGAATACTGCCAATAAACCTTTGTTCTCAAAAATAGTGCTGGTTATCGCGGTTTAATCTGAAACCGCCTGGTATTCTCCACATCGCGGTGAGAATAATATCGTTCGGTACATCGTTTCAAAGTTATTCACATTTTTTGTTTTAGTGGTTAGAGGAGTATATATTACAACCACAAAAGATTTATGAAAAAAACCACAGATTTTTAACTTTTCTCTCACGGAGTCGTCGAAGTACATGAACTTCGATTTTAATACTACCTTACTGTAACGATCATATTAGGGTTCTGTTGCTTTTTGAACTGTGGTTTTTTTTCAGCTTGATTTTGGTTTAAACTTCCTTTGTTTGCAAATTGGTTTGAAAAACTTTAAAAAAAATTGTCCTGTTGTTTTAATAATATTTATTCTGTTCGCTTGATCTTTAGAATATTGAAGAGCTGAGCTAACGTTTTGCATTAATGACAAAGGAGTTGGACTAGTCTAAAAAAGCCATCAACACGCATATATAAAAAAGAAAGATAGATAATAGACTGTATTCAAGTGTATTGGAAAATGAGTCCCTCCACAAAACTCCCGTGCTGCTCGAAGACTTTCGTCTGATACCAAATAAAATTTTGCTGCACTGTCAATAGAGTGTAAATAACAGAAATATTCTTGATCTCAAACATTGCCCAATTATTGATATAAAAAACTGCTGAATTCAAAGAAAGAAAATTTATTCAAAAAATAAACAATTAATTAGTCATCGAAGATCATTCTAGTTGAAAATAAGAGTTCCGTAACACTAGTTAGGAGTTATGGGTATAAAGAAGTTTATCAAAAGTACTCTGATTTGCAAATATTTAGAAAATCACTTTCTGTCGTTATATTTAATGTCATTTTATGACATTAAATACTTATATTCGATTTATTTTGTATTAAAATTACATAAATACATAAGGTGAATATGATAAAAATGTGAGCTTAAATTCAAAATCAATATTATATTTTTAATTGATTTTGATGACCTAGGATGACTTATGAGACCATGTTATGCTGAGTTATGTAAAGATGCTCATTTTTTAAAAGTTTATGTACAACAGTCGTAAAACTTCATAATCTTTGTGGTTCTGCATCAATCAATAGGTTTTCTTTTTCTGCTGAAGAAACTGGTAGCGGGGTGCCTGACGTGTGATCAACAGTATTTAGTAAACCAAACAGATGTACTCGTCTGTTTCCATTATCAGCCACTACTAGAGTACCATCATCTGTTAAACAAATGCCATACGGATGATTAAGTTGACCTAATTGTGTACCGAAACCGCCAAATTGTGTTATGTAACTGCCTACCGGCGAGCATATAACGATACGATCGTTGCCTGTGTCCGATATGAAAATATAATCATTTTGATCGACACATAAACCGGATGCACCTTTCAATGCTATGCCCTCTTGATCAACAATATACAATGGCTCAACCGTCACAATACCATTCGAATATTTTGGCACAAAACAAATGCAATTAGCATCTCCTACAATACAAACAACTGTTTCTGAATTATCTTGGTGAAGAAACGCTAACTGAATCGGTGCCAATAGCTGACCGTCGACTGACACCAGCTGGATTATTCGTTCACAATAACCATCAGGAGTGATGATTTGTATCCGTGAGTTTCCACGATCACATACATACAGCAAACTATCGATATCATCGCAACGAATACCAGCCGGATAATAAAATTGATGTGGATCATGGCCTTGTTGGCCTAGTTTAAACTGGTTATAATAGAATCCTTCTGTATTACTCGTATCATTTGTTTTCCACTCTGATGCTTGACAGGGTGAGTACATTTGTAAACGATGAACAAAATGACTTGCAACAATAACTGTACCATCTTGACCAACAGCTATGGATGTAGGACGAAATGTTTTCATATTTGGATCGTCAATAACATGATTTAATATTCCATTTAAATCATAGACTTGAACAATATTTCGGCCAGCATCACAAACATACACGTAATTTAGTTCTTTCTGAACACAAACATCGATGGGTTGTGTTTCTGATTTAAGTTGCAATTCAATCACTTTTCTAAGTGATTTATTTGAATAGCGTTCAATTAAAATCACTTCATCATTTGTCAACTCTCTTGTCTGCTCATCCTCACCGTATTCTGTTGGTACATAAACAGAAGAAACAGCGGCAGTTGATGAATACTCGTAATTATCGTTACCACCATTATAAGCAATTTCGGGTGGCGGTGGTTTGTAAAAAGCGCTTAATATAGGAAATCGTTGAATCATACGATCGAGTTTTGCCTAAAAAGAGAAAAGGAGTAGAACCTGAAATGCTGTAAAGTCTATTAAATAATCTACTGACACCAATGCCTTTTTTCTTCTTGTTTTGTATCATGTACGGAGGAGGTGGGTAATCACTTTCGTAGGGATCTAAAACAAATAGATTAACAGTTTTCTAAAAACAGTTTGTATGACTCTATATTGTGGAAAGCTGTATTAGATTCAAATTGTACTTAAAAATCTGAAACTACTTCGACAAACAATTAGGTGTAGTTGAATATCACATATCTAAATAATTTATCAAGTTTTAAACAGAAACGATTTTTTTTATACGTACAATAATAATCTTCCGGGTATTGTTCTTCAAATGGAATATCATTCCACTCTTCGTGTTCATCTTTTGGATAATTTTCATCATATTTTCCACCTTCTCCCAGTACTGATTGAGTTAATCCTTCGTGCAATTGAGATGCAGTTGAAAATTCTTTTGATGGTGGTATTATTGTCGTTGATTTTTGAATATCGCTATCGAATGGATTTGTTCGAACTGGTGCATTAATTAATCTTGGTGTAAAATCTAATCTATTATACACCGGTGGTTTTGGATTAGTCTCCTCTTGATTTATCTTCTGTACTTCTGTTTTTAATATGCCCGCTTCCATCGGTAAGAATAAATCATCAGGGTTTCGTTTATTTTTGACTACTCGAGCATAAAGATCGTCAGTTTCAACAATTATTGGATTATTTTTCTTCAAAGTGGCTAATGGGTCAAATTCAGGATCGTTGACAGCAGAAGCCATGACTATCGTGTAATGTGCACCTTCAGTTTATGTCATACAAATAGCTGTTTACTTTACGAGCCGTGACTTTTGCTTAATAAAGGTATAATTTTAGCACATGATACGACTATTATACACTAATTTTCTTATAGCCTATGAATAACACATGTCAATAATCTTATTTCGATGCTTCTATCTGTCCCCGTTCTCTTCTTTGTTTGATACGGTTGATTTATCAAAACAATGTACTTGGAAAAGAGTGAGCGTGTCTACGTTGGATGACGCTCTTTTATTGTTTCTTCTCTCATAATGTTAATACGTCGTTTTTTTATCATTGTCCTTAAAGAATTTGTCTCGTTTTAACGGACACGGGGTGAGAAATGACTGCTACGACTAGCGTTTGGCCGAGAATAACTCCGGCATCCACTATAACCCCCACAGTCAATCCGGGCCTTGGCTCCGGTATTGGAACGCCTACCTCTGCCGCAGGTGTATCGCTAACACCTGTTCCGAGCAATTTACCAACAATATCAAGCATACCACCATCTCTACCGGCCGCTCCAACAGGTGGTCTAATTCTCCCAGGTTCATCACTTAATGTAAGACCCAATTTTCCGGCTGTTGGTGTTACTTCACCTTTATTAAATATCTCTGTGAGTAAAAACAAATCTTTTTGATTATGATAATCTCACTAAGAAATAACTTTTAGCCACCAACACTTGGAAACAACATAAATCTGGTAAACAATGATCTAAATCATCGACGTTTAATGCAATTAGAAGATGAAAATAAACGAAGAGCGGTTACTAACAATCTGGTAAGATGGTCTATTGTTGTTCCACTATAAAACATTTCTTAGTTGTTTTTCTCTAGATGAACGATGTTCAACAAACAACCGCGATGTTGCTACATGGACAAATGGATGTTCAAGATCAAATATTGCAGTATCAATTTGTAAGTTCAAAATGGCACAAACAAGTTCATTGATAAGCTGATTAACTTTTTTTATAGATGTTAGAACAGTGTATGACTAATCTTGATCATCAAAATCTTGTACTGAATCAACAACAAGAAGAATTGAGTCTTCTAAGATCAAAAATGAAACGCGTCGATTATATGTTGGATGCGCTCAAATACAAAGGTAGATAATTCGAGTTTAATAAGAATGATCAAACTTTACTAAGGTAAATTCTCTAGGAGCAACAAATCCATCATCAATGTCTTCTTATCCACAATCACCAGCTGTTGCTTGGCATCAAACAGCGTACGTATAAAAGACACCCGAGCAAAAATAAAAATCGATGATCTGAACTGAGAACTATTGATTAGGAGCAGACTGGAGAACTGTGGCTTTCGCCATTTTTCGTGTAGCCATCTTTTCATAAGAGAAAAAATTTTAAAAATACTTCTTTCATATAGATTTTTTAGAAGATCTTTGACAACTCAGGTGACATCTGGAAAATTTGAAGTAGGAATATTTTGATTTTTCACACGGATAGATGGTTCATAATGTCCTCTTCAAAATGAAAGTCAAGCGATCTCTTGATTTTTCACCGTTTACGTATGACATTCAGTTTTGTAGAGTGTCCAGGAATAGTGTGTAAAAATTTGCTTTTTTTCTTCTTTGGTAATAATTAGACTTTCATGTTTTCTACATCTATACGGCACTGCTGTGATGTTTGATCATTCGTTTTTCGAAACAGACGATAGAGGGTGAGAAATATTTCAGGTATATTCAAAATTTTCTACCACAATCTATACCTGTTCTGACACTTCTCTATTTTCCTAAAACATTGAAAAAAATTCATTTAGTGTTATGCCTCCACCATCATCTCCGCATTACTCAGGTGGAGCAACAAGAGTCACACCGTCGACATTTCAACCACGTAATCCACGTTACAGATCACCAACACGATCACAAAGAACTTCTAGACAATTCTCTACAACAAGTTCAAATACTGATATAGGACGCCGCATAACTGTTAATAATACATCAATACCAACAAGTAACAACAATAGTTTCAGAAGATTAAATAATAACAGTACAACAATCGGTAGATAGAAAAATAATATCCAACAAATAGCAACGAGTAATTCTTAGAAAAACTTCTTTCTGATCGAGTATAGTTATGTGTTACTGGTTTGCTATCGTCAAATGCTCTGTTTGCTAGAATAATGATTATTGTACATGACTTTAAGTAATGATATTTTTATATAAATCTGACAGATATATTTTTATGACATCAGACCTTCATTCCAATAAATTATTTTTATTTTAAATTTATGGTGCGTATATATATTTTTCTCGTTTCTATTTCAGCTAATGTCAAACGACTCACATGTACCATAGTATGTTCTATGCTCTAAAGACTTCGCACTGTATATAGAAATAGAGAAAATCGTTACAGAAAGAAAAATATATTGTGTATATCATTTCCTAAAACACCTTGGATTGGAGTCGAACGGACAAAGTAAAAATTAACCGATATTCTTTGCATGTTTATATGTTCTAGAGGACACATTTAATAAAACTTCAAAGCGACAGAAAAGCTCATGTTCACTTTGTCCGCTTGACTTCACCTAATCCCATCTTTTATTGAGATTGACATGCAAGATCACCAAACACTAGAGAGCAAGGACGTTAGGACGCGATGTCAGAAAGTAGTAGTACTACATTATGTTTAGATAAGTATGACAGAACATCTTAAAGGTACACCCCGCCTCTTCCCCACTCGATTTCTATATTATTAAAAAATGTGGAGTGAATGTCCGATTGCGTTCAAATTCATATCAGAGACAGAACATCGTAAAAGAAAATCGATGTATTTTTTCTTAGAATCTCCTGACATGTCCCTCTATGATTTTTCTGAAAAACTTCAATTTTTCTCTACGTACATGACAACTCCATTAGCGTTCAAAATTTTACCATAGATACCTGATACAATATTTCAGAATACAGCTTTTTCTTTTAGGCTTCTAGTTTTCCTTTTCCCGATACATATAAAATCATAAAAATCCAACATAAAATCTCGTTTTGGGGTTTTGAACTGGATCGGATGAAGATCTGTGGGCTCGTCATATACATGATGAAAACAGGAAAATTTTTCAGAAAGCCTATAGAAGGACATGTAAAGAAATTTTTTGCGTAAAAATACATCGATTTTCTTTTACAATGGTCTATCTCTTATATGAATGTGAACGCGATCGCACGTTCACTGCACATTTTCCAATAATATGGAAAAAACGAGAAAGATGTGCTTAACATGAATTTTATCATCTCGTCATATTTTCGATTTTAATCTTCCTCGTATTGTTGTACATGGCTCAAAAAGACAAAGGCCTATATATATATTATCCTCCTATATATTTTTGTGAAAGGAATTATGATTTGAATTATTTGATTATAATATTTTATATTGTGATTTTTTAATTAAAGTATCAATAATATTTCAGATAAAAGTCATGTAACCGTCCATATATGATAAGAATTTCTGTCAAGATTTACTAAATATGTAGATGAATATTATTCTACATCGTCTTAAAATAGAAAAAAATGAAATTACTTATAGTATCAAACCATTTGATATCATATAAATTAACATATCAGCAACGGCAGTAGTTAATACAACAGAATGGTTATATCTTAAAATACAAGAACGATTCGAAGAGAAGAAAGTGATTTATAAGTAAAGTAATTAACGGAAAATATTACGTATACGTATCTATGCACAGTGGGCGTTCAGGCGGACATTTGGTGAAAAATCGAAAGTGCTCTCTTTTAAGATTCAAATAGAACCAAACCTTGAACCAAATTTCGCACGAAGGAAGCATTTTCAAGGAAAACTGCGAATACGAAAATTGTTCAGAATCAGATTCCCTGGAATATGAACGAAGGATTTTTCAAAATTCATTAAACTCGATTTTTAAATTGAAAAATATGGTTTTTAAAATTTCAAAATTCAGTAAAATTTAATTTAAAAGTCCAGTTTAACGAATTTTGAAAAATCCTTCTTTCATATTCCAGGGATCTGATTCACAACAACTTTCGTACCCACTCTTTCCCTTGAAAAAAAAAACGCTTTCTTTGAGCGAAATTTGGTTCAAGGTGTTGTGAAAATATTTTTGCTTAGCTAAAAATTAAAGAACTTTTTTAGTTTTGGATGTTTTGTTAAAACATATTTCAAGGTTGTAGAGGACACTTCGAACTACATGTCCTGAAGTTTTTTCGGCTTACGGACATTGTTTGACTGAGAAAAAAATTAATTACTTAAAAAAAATATTGTTAAATTTTTGAGCACGGGACTGTTATAAAAAAATTCTAATGAATGAATTGGATTCTAAAATTATTAAGCTAGCCAGTCTTGTAGCTCATGAAAGTCTCTGTCAGGTGAGGTATAGCTTAAATTCTTTTGTTGAGTCCTTATTTTGCAAATGGGACTGTAAGCTAGTAGAGTAGGCTAAACTAACCTTAATTAGTGCTATTTAGTCAATAACAGGAAGGAAAAAACAAAAAGTTTTACATATTTTCTCGTATTAAATATTCTCCACACATTTCTCTATCGATCTAGACAAGAACCAAGTTTTTATGACGAATGGAGAATGCACAGGAATTCTTTTAATAATAGTCCCTTGTTCAAAAACTTAACAATATTTTTTAACGTAATGTTTTTCTTAGCGAAATAATGTCAATAAGCCGAGAAAGCTTCAGGACATATACCTCGAAGTATCCTACAAACTGGGAACGTTGGGCGAAAATCTAAATGCCAGATAGGCTATCTGGCACACTTATTTCCAGACATGGCACAGCTTTAATAAAAAATGTTAGGCGAAAATATAGAAATCTGCTGCTAACTTCCCTTACGTAATCGCTCTATTGTATTGGTCCTATTTTATACAAGTAATTTAACGTTATATATTCGTTGTTTACCATAAAAAGCAACATTTGCACACATAGAAAACCTACATCGTGCTGGCCGCTGTTCAGTGGGTACTGGCTTGCTGTTATCCATTAGTATTTTGGTTTAGAAGAGCATTTTACTACATACGGTTCTTATTTACGTTCGTCCAGTAACAATTATCAGTGTGATTTATTTCTGACTCTATGCTCTCTATGTAAAAAAATAAGTTTTAGACAAACAGCAATCGTACATCTAGCTCGAACAAAGTGAAAGTTAAGAATGGTAAAACGGATCATCGTTCTTGTTTTTATACTTTTTGTTAGCGGGTTGCCGTATGCAACCTTTATAGTCTATGGAATATTTACACAGACGCCACAGTATCATTTTAGAATTATTTACCTTACTTTCTTTCGGCTGTATCAGCAGCAGTATCAATAACTATTCTGATATTTGCAGAAGATATTTATTCCGTTGACTTTAGTCTCCCAGGTCCAATAGACACGGTCGTAAACGACCGTATACGGCAATGTACGGCGATATACATCAGCCGTATACGGCGGTTGTATTACGACGAAATACGGCGGTTTACGACTGTCGTATACGGTGAATTTCCTGTGATCTGTGTTC